TGCCTGTTCTTAAGAAAGAACACTAATGCCCTAGGAGAAGAAGGCAACTTTCTCATCCTGATAAAGTCATCCACCAAAATTTAACAGCAGACAACACTTTGATACAATAGGAATACAATGCCATTTAAGATCAGGAGGTGCAGAAGGCCCCTTCTAATCAATATGATTCAAAAGCCCCTGCCAGAGATAGGCAACAAGAGCATAAGAAAGTGGTAAGAATTTAAAAGGAGCAAATGAATCTATCTGTATATGTAGATATGGTTATCTGTAGAAATCCCCCCAACGATCTACCCATCAGTTATTAGACAGGAGTGTATCAAATTTGCTATGAACAGACTCAACAAAGAGAACTCTCTATGAGGACCAGCAAGACACATATACCTCTAGGTCTTCTCCAGAAATACAGTGTGAAGTATTCAGATTCTAGGAAAGAAAACCATGCCATTTCTCACAAGAAGTCCAAAAAGACTTCTAAATAACACAAGGAAAAGAACCAAATTTAAAAGTGTAGCATGGAAACTATGGGTTAAAAGGAAGAAGACCCTGAAAGAGAAGATGACACGCCAAGATAAATAACCCCAACTGAACCCCAATAATGAGTTAAAGAGTGTTGCACTCTTTAGATCATTCATTCAGTCCAAAGAAGACTCATTAACAATTGAATACCAGCATTTGAGAAAACAGACAGTGACTGTCCTCTCCAAGGAATGCCACAATTACAAAGATGACTTCATAACTGAGTATTATGGGTCTATCCTGCCATGATGAAAATGGTAGCTATGTTTACCAAAATGAATGCACAATGGAAGAACCTTTTAAAACAACTTTAGTGGGGTATCACTCACATACCATAAAACCCACACATTTGAAATGTACAGCTCAAATGATTTATAGCCAACGTATCACACTGTGCAACTATCAGCATGAACCAGTTTTAGAACATTTCCATTACCCCAGTAAGATCCCTCATGCCTGCATAGTTAATCGGGTTCTCCCCACCAGCTCAGGCAAAAGTGGACCTAATTTCTGTTTCTATGCCCTCTCTGCCTAATCTGGATATGTCACATAAATGGGTAATACAGTCTGTGGTCCTTTGTGACTGGTTTCATTCACTGAGCATGTTTTGCAAGGTTCATTTGTTTCTGTGACTTCCCTAGTGGTCAAGTGGTTAAGACACCAAGCTTCCACTGCAGAAGTTCTATCCCCAGTTGGGGAACTAAGATCCCACATGCTGCATGGCACAGTTAAAAAACTGAAAGGAAAAAAAAAACCTTCATGTACTTGTATGGCCAAATAATATTTCATTGTACAGTTAACTATATTTTATTTATCCAGCTCCCCAAAGGGAAATTTTGGGTTTTCTCTTTTTGGCTATCATGACATATGTTTTGTACACTTGTGTGCAAGTCTTTGGACAGCTTTTGATTTCTCTTTGGAGTCAAGTGGTTTTCAGTTACAACCAACACCATTTTAAGTTCCCACCAGCAATGTGTGTTCTCTGAACTTTGGAAGCTGCATTTCCTAGTTTCCCTTTTCCCTCAAGATCACATTTGTCGATCAAAATTAATTTTTTTTTTAATATTTCTAACTTTGGCCAGGCCTCTCAGCTTGTGGAATCTTAGTTCCCCAACCAGGGACTGAACGCAGAATCACTGCAGTGAGAGCACCAAGTCCTAACCACTGGACCGTCAGGAAATTCCCAATTTCTTACATACTGAGGATCCAGTGTCCACACTTCAAAGTTCTGTGAGTGTTTTGTTGTTTGTTTTTGTTTTAATAAATAAGCCAATAAGGTGCAGTGCTTTTCGAAAGCACGAGTCTCCTTTTTCCACTTTCTTAATGCAACCTCTGCCTTAAAATAAGGATAAGCCATCCTGGCTTCTGTTTTTGTGTAGTTTTGATGGTGCACAGCCACACCTGTTTATTTATGTATTTTCTGTGGCCACTTTTGTCCCACATGGTAGAGCTGAGTAGTTGTAACAGAGATCATCTGGCCCACCAAATCAAAAATATTTAATATCTCCCCATTTACCAAAAAAGTTTGCAAACCCCTGTCTTAAAGTGTAGGTTTAGAAATATGCACAAAACACAAAGAGTTAAACTAGTGTGTGTGGGGGGGGGACTACCCTGTTGGTCCAGGGATTAACAATCTATGTTCCCAATGCAGGGAGCCTGGGTTTGGTCCCTGGTTGGGGAACTAGATCACATGGATCACAACAAAGACTTGGCACAGTCAAATAAATAAATTTAAATATACAATTTTTAAAAACCCTACTGTTTTGGAGGGCTGAGAAAGAAATACATCAGACTGGCCTAACTTAGAACAGTCAATCTGCTCTGCAAATTAACCCCCAATGCAACTGCTTTAAGGTGCTTAGAGCCCTGCACAAAGCTCTTGATTAGGGCACTGAGAAGGACATTGGCCTATCACGTCGTGTGATGTGGGCATGCGTGATGAGGCAATCAGCTTCTAGGCTGTCTGCTTAGGTTAAACTGCCAGGCTTAAAGTCATGTTGTTTATTGAGGGTTTTTGTTGTTTTTTGCTGCTAGGCAGCTTTCGGGATCTTAAGTTCCCCAAATAGGGATAGAACATGCACCTCCTGCAGTAAAGCATGGAGTCCTACCCACTGGAAATTTCCACCAGGCAATTTTTTTTTTTCCCTATCAAATTGCTCTTTTATTATGGAACACAAAAGCATTCTCATTTCCACAGTTTACAGCTTTGTTAATGATGGGAAAAATCAATGTTATTCTTTCTGGGAAGATGGTAATGTTTTATATCCTAATTTGGAGGGTGATTATAGAGGTTTACACACTGGTCAAATTTCATCAACCTGTACATTTTAAATGGTGCATTTTACATGCAAGGTAAGTTTTCAGACAGAATTATAAAATTAAACATCATTCTCCAGAGAGAGGTTCAAAGAAACAGCTGCCTGCATGAAAAATACATTTAAAGATTTCTTTTCTTGGTCTTGGAAAAAGCAGATATAAAACGAACAGAGATGTTTAAAAAACTGTGGTTCAACAATCAGCACAAAATTCCGTTTCCTGGAGTTCATCTCCCAACTTTGAACAGAAATTATGTTTGACTTAGCGACTGAACAACAAAACCTGACACCATAAATAAAAATCAACATGGATAGGAAATCATTTTAGAAGACATTTTAGAAGGGTATTTTAGGAACATTTTATAAGATGAAAATCTAAATGTATTCTCATTTCTAGCAGAGTGTATTTGTGACTACACATTATTGTCCCAACACAAATCAGCCAAAGACCACCAGGGACAAAACCTATAGTGTAACAAGATGGGATTTACCAACTTGTTACACAGGAAATGACATCCCCGAGGAACCCCCGGGTGTCCCACCAAACCACGGAAGACACAGGGATATTAGAGGACTGGGGGGAAGGACAGAGTTTGGATGAAATTCAAGTGAAGTAGTATTTTGATAGGCTTAAAAAGTAAAGTGACACTGTGAGTTAAAACAGGTCTAATAGATAAATCAGATGATACTTAGAACTAAACCAAAGTTTTAAAAACCTTAGCTTAAAACCCATGTGCGGGTTCAACTGGTGGCTCAGTGGTAAAGACTCTACCTGCCAATGCAGGAGACGCAGGTTTGATCCCTGGGTCAGGAAGATCCCCTGGAGGAGGAAATAGCAATCCACTCCAGTATTTTTGCCTGGAAAATCCCATGAACAGAGGAGCCTGGAGGGCTACAGTCCTAGGGTGGCAAAGAGTCAGACACAGCTTCATGACTGAGCACACACACATGTAATGTAGTCAAATGGGGTATTGAGCAGGATATCTATGGCCTTAACTGCTTAAATTCAAAAACACAGACTGAAAATTAATGAGCTAGATTTTCAGCTTCAAGATAGGACCTAATAAAAGCAAGCCCACATTCTTCACGTTTACATGTTTGCCCTGCCACTCTGAATTTCCTTGTGCAGTAGTTTAAGCCCCAGCAGGCTTCCCCCCATACCAAAGCTATTCACAGAGCTGCTCTCCTGTGACCGATGAGCCTTCCTCTGCTTCCACTCCCAGACCTGTCTTCAGTGTGCATCCTCACGTGTTTCCTACGTGATGAATGATGACTGGAAAGCTTCCGGCACTGCTACATCTTCCCTCTTGCATGTAGCCTCTTGTGGGCAGTCGCCTTAGAGCTCCTACGGAAGGCTTTTCTGCAGGCGCTGACTGGGCAGGGCTTCTCCCCAGTATGGGTTCTCATGTGCGCCATCAGAAAGAACTTTCTGCTAGAGGTTTTGCTGCATCACTTCACTGGCGGCGTTTCTCCCCCGTGTGCACTCTCCTATGCACTGTCCGGTCACTGCTCCTGACGAAGGCCTTCCCACAGTCACTGCATTCATCATACAGCTTCTCCCGAGCGTGCATCCTCTTGGCTACAGCGAGGCTCGAAGTAGAGCTGAAGATCTGCCCACACTAGCTACACCTACACGGTTCCTCTCCAGGATGAATTCATGCGTGCGGCCCGAGAGAGGAGTTGCAACTGAAAGCCTTTTCACACTGAGAACATTTGTAGGTTTTCTCACCAGTGTGTGATCACACGTGGACCCCAAGGAAGGAAGGATAACTAAATGCTTCCCCACATTCTTTACGTTCATCGCGTTTCACGCCTGTGTAATTCCTCTTAGTAGTCAGGTCAGGATTCCTTCTGATGGCTTTTCCACACAGACTGTGTTCATAGGACTTCTTTCCAGGTTGAGCTGGTGCCTGTCAATGAAGAGATAGGCAGTAACTAAAGGCTTTCTCACTTTCATTGCACTCATGGGAATTCTCCCCCATAGGCAGTGTGTGGAGTAAAGAAAGCAAATTCCTACCTTAGAAATTGCTACCATTTTCAGAGCAAGTGCACTGCTTCTGCCCTGTCTGAGTTCAAATTGAGCAGAGAGAATGAAGTCAAAGTGTTTGGTCGCTCGGTTGGGTCCAACTCTTTGTGACCCCATGGACTGCAGCCCCGCCAGGACTCTGCTTCCACTCCCAGACCTGTCTTCAGTGTGCATCCTCACGTGTTTCCTACGTGATGAATGATGACTGGAAAGCTTCCGGCACTGCTACATCTTCCCTCTTGCATGTAGCCTCTTGTGGGCAGTCGCCTTAGAGCTCCTACGGAAGGCTTTTCTGCAGGCGCTGACTGGGCAGGGCTTCTCCCCAGTATGGGTTCTCATGTGCGCCATCAGAAAGAACTTTCTGCTAGAGGTTTTGCTGCATCACTTCACTGGCGGCGTTTCTCCCCCGTGTGCACTCTCCTATGCACTGTCCGGTCACTGCTCCTGACGAAGGCCTTCCCACAGTCACTGCATTCATCATACAGCTTCTCCCGAGCGTGCATCCTCTTGGCTACAGCGAGGCTCGAAGTAGAGCTGAAGATCTGCCCACACTAGCTACACCTACACGGTTCCTCTCCAGGATGAATTCATGCGTGCGGCCCGAGAGAGGAGTTGCAACTGAAAGCCTTTTCACACTGAGAACATTTGTAGGTTTTCTCACCAGTGTGTGATCACACGTGGACCCCAAGGAAGGAAGGATAACTAAATGCTTCCCCACATTCTTTACGTTCATCGCGTTTCACGCCTGTGTAATTCCTCTTAGTAGTCAGGTCAGGATTCCTTCTGATGGCTTTTCCACACAGACTGTGTTCATAGGACTTCTTTCCAGGTTGAGCTGGTGCCTGTCAATGAAGAGATAGGCAGTAACTAAAGGCTTTCTCACTTTCATTGCACTCATGGGAATTCTCCCCCATAGGAAGTGTGTGGAGTAAAGAAAGCAAATTCCTACCTTAGAAATTGCTACCATTTTCAGAGCAAGTGCACTGCTTCTGCCCTGTCTGAGTTCAAATTGAGCAGAGAGAATGAAGTCAAAGTGTTTGGTCGCTCGGTTGGGTCCAACTCTTTGTGACCCCATGGACTGCAGCCCCGCCAGGTTCCTCTGTCCATGGAATTCTCCAGGCAAGAATACTGGAGTGGGAGCCATTCCCTTCTCCAGGGGATGTTCCCAGCCCAGGTATTGAACCTGGGTCTCCTGCATTGCAGGCAGATCCTTTACCACCTGAGCCACCAGGTAAATACAGAGAATGCGCTACCATAAGATTCCATCATGGCTGCATTCATAAGACTTCTTATGTACAGACTTCTTTTTTTCTGATAGTTATGTAAAACAAAAACTCAATTCTAAGTTATATTTATGGACCTGCTTATTTGTGGGATCTATCTATGAATCGCTATTGAAATCAGTTTAGGATATTACCCAAATTCATGGCACCCCAAGACTCTCTCCTGAGACATGACTTATCTTAGGTGAAGGCTACTGGCCCCTCGTGTCTCCCCAGGTTGTTGCGCTCTTTGTCTATCTCATGGCAATTCCCTCCTGCAGAGAACCAGCAATGAACCCTCATGAGCCTTACCCCTTTCCTGCCAGTAAATGGTTTTTCCCAAACTTTATTCCTCCCAGCCGTGGTCTCCTTGGTTTTAAGCTGAGAATTCTGGTCTGAAATGATCAGAATGAAAAATGTTTAAGTTCATGGAGAAATAAATGGTTAGATAAAACAACAAACAGAGGCCCATGGAGTTTTTCTTTCATATACTGACTCTTCTTAGTCACTGTGACAGGGAAGAATGCACCAGCAGCTAAAGACAGACTTAGGATTTCAGCAAGGTATAGAATTTGACAAGGACACAAACAAGGGGTGAAAATGGCAAGTGACAGGCAAGGAACAATTTTGTTAAGAATGAGACAACTGTCTAAAAGAGGGCAAGCAAACTTTGAGGACAGTGGGAAAATGGGCAAATAGCACACTTGGGAATGTTCTGGAAAGAAGAAGCAGTACTCAGTACTCTGTAATGGGAAAAGAGCTTAAGAAAGAATGGATATATGTACATGCATAACTAGTTAGGTATTCCTGAATACATAAAACTAACACAGCATTGTAAATCAACCATATTCCAATAAAAATGAATTTTAAAAAAGAGAAAGCAGGACAGAGCTTATTCTTATAGAAAAAGTGGTAGAAACAGCAAGGATTATGTTCAAATCTTGTAATAACCTACAATGGAAAAGAATCAAAACAACAAAAAAAGAATACAGATATATACATACATGTTGTAGTGGCAGAAACAGCAAGGATTATGTTCAAATCTTGTAATAACCTACAATGGAAAAGAATCAAACAAACAAAAAAGAATATAGATATATATATATATATATATATATATATATTAATGTTGTTGTTTAGTCGCTAAGTCATGTCCAACTCTTTGCGACCCCATGGACTATGTAGCCCANAGAACAGACTTTTGGACTCTGTGGGAGAAGGCGAGGGTGGGATGATTTGAGAGAAGAGCATTGAAACATGTATATTATCTAGGGTGAAACAGATCACCAGCCCAGGTTGGATGCATGAGCCAAGTGCTCAGGGCTGGTGCACTGGGAAGACCCAGAGGGATGGGATGGGGAATACATGTATATCCATGGCTGATTCATGTCAATGTATGACAAAAACCACTACAATACTGTGAAGTAATTAGCCTCCAACTAATAAAAAAAAAAAGAAAATAAAAAGAAAATAAAAGAAAATAAATGGTGAAAATGAAAAAAAAAAAAGTGGGAGAGAAAAGAGAGAAGGGAAGGAGAGAGGAAGGAAAGTAGAAGTTTCAAGAGGAAATTCACCCCAAGTGGCTGGACACAATTTCTCAGACAAAAATGACCTTTGAGAAGCTCTGTAAAGGGGCTCCTTTTCCCCAGGGCTCACCTGCACAGGTGTCTTGGAGAAGTCTCCTCTTCCGGGTTCTCAGCTCCCCCTGGGTGAGCAGGCAGGGCTTGCGGAGATGATACCCTGGCACATGGGGAAAGACACATGAGGTGGGGGGTGTGCAGGGTCAACACAGGAACTCTGCCCAGAGTAGGGCCAACAGTTTCAGCATGCGTGGCCCCATGAGCAGTAACACAATGATGGTTGTTGTTTAGTCGCTCAATCGTGTCCCACTCTTTGTGACCCCACGGATTGCAGCCCATCAGGCTTCTCTGTCCATGGGATTTCCCAGGGAGGAATATTGGAGCGGGTTGCCATTTCCTTCTCCAGGGATCTTCCCAGACCAGGGATCAAACCTGCATCTCCTGCATTGGCAGGCGATTCTTCAACACTGAGGCACCTGGGAAGACCAACATGATAACCCAAGACCCGAAACTATCTCACATCATACCCTCCAGGGATCCTCAGACCCAAGCTCAGAGACACACATAATGGGCATGAAAACTTCCAATCATGAAGAAAATCAGGTTGATATAATGAATAAATCTTCACTCTCAAAAGGAAGACAGGAGACTAGGGGCTAGTGCCTGCAGCCCAGACATTAGCCACCTGCTTCTCTAAGTCAAGTTGTATTGGACACAGCCCTGCCTATTTGCTTACATGCCATCTGCGGTGGCTTCGGCACCATAGTGGCAGCATTGAGCAGTTGCAACAGGGACCCAGGGTCCACTGAGCTGAAAATATTTACTCCTTGGCCCCTTAACAAAAAGAGTGCTCACCCCCATTCTACACAAATCACTTTTTTTTTTTTTTGGCTATGCTGCAAAGCTTGCAGGAGCTTAGTTCCCCAACCAAGGATCAAACCTATTCCCCTTCCAGAGGGGAAGTGTCGAGCCCTAATCACTGGACTGCCAGAGAAGTCCCTACAGTATCACTTCTTAAGGATGGGCCACATACTCCTCCCAAGAGCAAGAACAGTTCCTGCAACACAGCAGGTGCTTGAGAAAGGTTTGCAGCAAAAACCTATGAATGACACTTCCCTGGTGGTACAGTGGATAAGAATCCACCTGCCAATGCATGGGACATGGGTTTGATCCCTGCTCTAGGAAGATTCTACATGCTGAGGGGCAACTAAGCCTGTGCGCTACAACGACTGAATCCTTGCACCCTAGAGCCTCTGCTTTGCAACAAGAGACACCACCACAATGAGAAGCCTGTGAACTGCAATGAAGAGTAGGCCCTGCTCGCTGAAACCAGAGAAAATCCACACATAGCAACAAAGACCCAGTGCAGCCAAAAAAATCAATAATTTTTAAAAATAATAAATCTGCTTTAAAAAAAAAAAAACCTATGAATGACATCCTGCCCATTGTGTACATATGGTGGGGTGTTGCTCCAGAACCTTGCTTCAGACATGTAAACTTCCCCATCACTAAACCACTGATAGCTTTGAAAAACAGAAACAAAATCTACTAATGAAGAGAGGTGGCCGACCACACTCACCCACAGAAGTCAGGTTCCTGTAGTTCTCCAGCATCACGTCTTGGTACAGGATTTTTTGAGCAGGGGCCAGCTGGGCCCATTCCTCCCGGGAGAAGTCCACCGACACTTCCTGGAAGGTCACTGGGTCCTGAAATATCACAAGCTCATCTCCATCAGTGTCCCAGGAGGCCAGGGCACAGGAAGATGGAGCCAGACGACTGAGGCTTGGGAAGTTCAGACAGAAAGGTGAACTTGACCTCAGCAGCCCCATATAGCCCCATTGATATGTTAATTCTTCAACACACACTTGAAGTCTTCTCCAGCTTGTCTGTGAACCCATCCTGCCTGGGTCCCCTCAGTCAGGTACACCCAGCCCTGAGCTCCCCAAGGTCCTGGAAGAATACTTGGTAAATGAATGAGTTAAAGCAACTATACTCCAATAAAAATTATTTTTTAAATAAATAAATGGTGACAAATTTTCATTTTTTTAAAATTTAGATAAATGAATGAGTGATGTTCCCAAGAGTTCCTGAGACAAAGTGGTCTCATAGATTTTCTTGATTTTCTGTCACAGCCCAGAAGGGACTATACTGAGAAAAGTTCATAAATACTGAGGCAATGCCAGCATTCTCTGGGAAGCTCCTTCGCCACCGTTAGAGGAAGAGTAGGGACAAGTCCCGGTGGGGTTGGAGGCTCCAGGCCACCCACCCTCAGGGAAGGGAGACGCCACGTGGATGGAGGGGGATTTCCAGTTACCTCTGACCAGGCTGTTGGCAGCACTGAAGCTACTGCTTCCTCCTCCATGTTCCCCTCCTGGGGACAGGTGGGGTCCTGAGCAGGCATAGCTAGAGGACAGGGGAGATGCCGTGAGCAACAGGCCAAGCCTGGATTCCACTCCACCCAAGCCTGCACACTGCTTCACACCACCCTGAATGAAGCAAAGGCAAGCCCGCCCACCTGCCTTCCGGGAGGTTTCCTAAAAGGCCAGGGAGGCCCTGTCTCTCTCACATTTAGAAAAGAGGCCTGTGAACCTTGCCGCCCGGGGGAAGGCTAGTTATCTCCCGTGACTATTGTGGGTAATCAAGTTTCAGAACAGTTTTGCAAGTCAGTAGTCCAAATTTATAAATCGAAAACAAGGAGGGGAATGCCCTGGCAGTCTAGTGGCTAGGACTCCAGGCTTTTACTGCCAAGGGCCCAGGTTCAATCCCTGCTTAGCGAACTAAGATCCCACAAGCCACTTGGCAAGGGGGAAAAAAAAGAAAGAAAAAGGAACGGGATGTCCCTGGTAGTCCAGGGGTTAAGACCCTGCACTCCTAGTGCAGGGGGCCAGGGTTCTATCCTTGCTCAGGCACAGCCAAAAAAAAGGATGGGAGGGAGGGGGGAAGGAAGGAAGCAAGGAATAATACAATATTATCCCCCAAATATCCCAAACCCTAAAAAGCATCGATCCTGGGGCGCAGGGGCTCCTGGGGCTCCACTCCCACCTCGTCCTGGCCTTTAGAAGCCCTGGAGGAAGAGGGTCTCAAAATACTGGCCAGGGCACGAACTAGCTCTGGGAGGGGGCTCAAGGGGGAAGAAAGCCCGTGTGGGAGTGGCTGGAGCTTGGTGATTGGAGTGTCTGGGGAGGAAAACTGAAGGAGCAGAGGGACCAGGAGCTGAGTCAAGACCAGAGCAAAGGATGGACTTCCCTGGTGGTCCGGTGGTTAAGAGTCCTCCTGCCAGTGCAGAGGACACAGGTTTGATCCCTGGTCCAGGAAGATTCCACATGCTGTGGGGCAACTAAGCCCATGCTCCACAACAAGAGAAGCCACAGCAATGAGATGCCCATGCAACGTAACTGAGAGTAGCCACCCCCCCCACCGCCCCCCCACTCGCCCCCAACTAGAGAAAAGCACCCGCAACAACAGAGACCCAGTGCAGCCAAAACTAAATAAATAATAATAAAAGACCAGGGCAAAGGGACATGTGGGTTTATATCCCATGACTAGCTGAGCAGAAGAATTTGGCACCAAGAGTGTTCTGTTTCTATTTTTATTTTTTTAAGATCATATTGACTGCTATTCACAGGACAGAACTGGGGAGGGCAGAAATAGAAGCAGTGGGCTGGTAAGCAGCAGTGGCAGGGCCCAGAACGCCTTGGAAGAGGCCAGGAGCAGCAGAGACCATTCTAAGTCATTAGTATGGTATACATATCAGAGGAAACACCAAAGGATTTGCTAGGGAATTCAACTGGGGTGGAAGAGGGGCCAGTTGACCCTCAGCCAATGGGAGAAGGTAAAGAAACCAAGGAAGGATCACTGGATCTTTTATATTCACAATGCTGAACTTTTGGAGGTGGGGAGTGGAGGAAGGCACAGCTTGCAGGATCTTAGTTCCCCAACCAGGGATTGAACCTGGGCCCCAGCAGAGAAAGCGCTGAGTCCTAACCACTGGACAACCAGAGAATTCCCAACAACTGAACTTTATACCTGAGCCCTGTGTTCCTAGAAAACAGTGATGGGTAAGAACCACCTCTCCAACCCTTTCTGTCCTGCCATTAAACACCCTTCCCCACACAACTCAGGTAAGACCCAAGGATGGCTCTGTTTACCTAGGACAAGGCCAGACAGAGGCTATCCGAATTCCCAATATCTGTCTGTGAAAGAGTACCTGAACTGTCTGTCCCCCTTGAACAGCCTGGACAGAACTTAACCAAGCTTCAATCAGGCTTCTCCCCATCCCCCAACCCCCAACCCTCCTGGGTCATTGAACTTTGACCCACCCATGAACCTGGAAACCAGTTGTCCGCCCTGACAAACTACCCTACCACCCCATCAGTCATCCCACTTCTCAGCTTTGTTTATTCTTTCCTATCAAAGAAAGCCTGACCTGGGATTTCCCCGGCAGCCCTGTGGTTAAGACTCCAGGCTTCCAATGCAGGGGGCACAAGTTCAATCCCTGTTTGGGGAACGAAAATCCCACATGCTGCATTGTGCAGCCAAAAATAAAAAAAAAAGCCTGACCCTAAGATGGGAGATTTCAGCCTACAGCAAGTCTGTCCTTCCAATATTAGTACACTGGCTAAAAGATGACCAGTACTTGAGAGGGAAAGATGGAGGAGAAGCAAGTTTGTTCAAGGTGAGGTTCGGCAGAGGCAAAAATATATGTATTTTGTATAACATGTGAAAATTAATATGCATATATCATATATATGATATATGATATATATATATCATATATATGATATATTACACACACATATGCATAATGTATTTTACAGATTTAACAAATGGCATATTTTCCCATCAAATTTAAAAGGGTTATCCCATGTGGTGCAGTGGTAAAGAATTCGGAGATGCAAGAGACTTGGGTTCAATCTCTGGGTTGGGAAGATCCCCTGGAGAAGGTAATGGCAACCCACTCCAAGGTTCTTGCCTGAAGAATCCCATGGACAGGGAAGCCTGGCAGGCTACAGTCCATGGGGTCACAGAGTCAGACACGACTGAGCATACACATCACACACACACCCCAGAAAGCTCAGGCACTAGTGAACTTGGGAGGACAGAGAGTAAGGGGCATCTATTCATTCTGACTATGCTCTCCCCTCTCCTTGGCAAAAGAGGAGGGGGCTGTTGTCAGCTGGAGGTTTCAGGAAGGCAAAGGAAATTTCCTCTTGGGGCAGCGCCACCCCTACAAGGCAGACTCTCTCGGAGAGAGGCTTGATACAGCAGAGGAGTTTTTTTGTTTTTTGCAAGAGGGATATCAAGGCCTGTTCTTAGGCTTGTGGGAGTGACAGGGGCTGGGGGGAATAATTTCAAAATGTGGTGGACCAGCAGGCTGAGAGAGAGCTTCAGGGGATGTCTCTCTTTTTTGGGGGGTGGGGCCTACACTGGCTCTAAGTTGCAGCATGTGGGGTCTAGTTCCCTGACCAGGGGTCAAACCAGCACCCCCTGCATTGGAAGCATGGAGTCTTAGCCAGTGGACCACCAGGGAAGTGCCCCAGGGATGTCTTATCTGGGCTCCAGGTTCAGGCAGCCACCTGCCCTCAGTACCCAGTAGAAAAAATTGTCTTTGCCACAGATGACGAAGATGACCAGGGGCCCGTGGCAGTTGGGACTGTGCTGGGGATAATTTGAATTTATGTGTATAAAAATTTTAAATATCCCCATGCCTTCAACTAGCAACTTGCAGGACTGTAGCTAAGAGAAACCTTGGCACCTGTGTAGATACAGACAGATAACTAGATGTGTGTGTATATTCAAGCTTGTTTACTATTATACAAACTGTTTATAATGGTTAAGAACTGGAACTAACCAAAATATCCATTAGAGTATAGCAAGGGGCTAAAGATTGACCAGATATTTGTATGTGGGATATGATTATGGCTTTTAAAACCAAAAAACTGACATAGATCTTGAAGTATTAAATACATTCACATAAGCCTGTCCAACTCCTTGCAACCCCAAGGACTGTAGCCTGCCAGGCTCCTCTGTCCATGGGATTCTCCAGGCAAGAATACTGGAGTGGGTTTCCATTTCCTACTCTAAGGGATCTTTCCGAACAAGTGATCAAACCCAAGTCTCCTGCACCGCAAACGTGCAACTCCTGCACTGCAGGTGTATTCTTTACCACTGCACCATCTGGGAAGCTTATAAAATATACGTATGTATTAAATATGACTGAGAAAAAGGCCTTCAATGAATACTTCTCCAAAGAAAATACATAAATGGCCAATAAGCACACAAAAAGATGCTTGACATCACTAATCATTAGGGAAATGCAAACATGAACCATATTGAGGGACTTTCCTGGCAGTCCGGTGGTTAAGACTCCACACTTCCAGGGGCCATGGGTTGGATCCCAGGTCAGGGAACTAAGATCCCACAGGCTGGTGGGGCAAATAAATAAATAAATAACAAGATATCACTTCATACCCAGTAGGATGACTCTTATCAAAAGAAAAAAAACTAACAATTGTTGGAGAGGATGTGGAGAAACTGGAACACTTATGCATTGCTGGTGGGAATGTGAAATGTGCAGCTACTGTTAAAAAGTGTGATGGTTCCTCAAAAACTGAATCACATAACTACCTTAAAGACCCAGCAATTCGAGTTTTTCCATTCTTTTGGATGTCCATACCCAGCAATAGTATATACATCCAAAAGAACTGAAAACAGAGACTCAAACAGATATGTGCACATGAATATTCATAGCTGCATCATTCACAATAGAGGAAAGGTAGAAAAAGTCCCCATGATCATCAACAGATGAATGGATAAGCAACATGTGTATACTCACAATGGAATATTATTCAGCCTTGTGTGTTAGTTGCTCAATCGTGTCCAACTCTTTGTGGCCCCATGGACTGTAGCCCGCCAGGTTTCTCTGTCCATGGAATATGAAATTCCTGAACTGGGGCCTCCTGCATTGCAGGCAGATTCGTTACCAACTGAGCTACCAGGGAAGCCATTCAGCCTTATAAAGGAATGAAATTCTGACACATGCTACAACATGGAAGAATTTTGAAAACATTATGCTAAATGAAACAAGCTGGACACAAAAGGACGGATGCCATATGATCCCACTTATCTGAGGTAAGGGTCAACTTCACAGAGAAAGAAAGCAGAACAGAGGGTGCCATGGTCTGGAAGTTAGGGTTCTGGGGAGTTACTGTTTAATGGGTACAGTTTCCATTTGGGAAAATGAAAAAGTTCTGGAGATGGATGGTGGCGCTGACTGCACAACAATGTGAATATACTTAATGCTACTAAAAAGTACCCTCAAAAAAGGTTAAAAACTGGGATTTCCCTGCTGGTCCATTGATTAAGACTTCACCTTCCAATGCAGGGGGTGAGGGCTGGATCCCTGGGTGGGAGCTAATAAGATCCCATATGCCTTGGGGCCAAAAAACCAAAAGACAGAAGCAATATTGTAACAAATTCACTAAAGACTTTTTTTAAAATGGTTTAAGTAAAAAAAAAAAGTTAAAAGGAAAATTTCATGTTATATATCATTTATTACAATTTGCAAAAAAACTGCAAAGGCCTACTGAGATAGGTAACACTGGGACCCTCTGGAGAAGAACACAACACTATTTCATGGGCATTTGGCAGGGGAAACATGAAGGGAAATGTTGATATTTTTACTCTACAGTTTCCTGAGTTACTTTAATTTTTTCATATTCAGTTTATTTCAATATTCCTTCCACTTCTCCTACTTTATGGAAGTTGTAAAAAGTGAAAGTGTTAGTCCCTCAGTTGTGTCCAACTCTTTGTGACCCAATGGACTATAACCTGCCAGGCTCCTCTGTCCATGGAATTCTCCAGGCAGGAATACTGGAGTGGGTTGCCATTCCCTCCTTCAGGGGATCTTCCCAATCCAGGAATTAAACCCACATGCCCTGAGTTGCAGGCAGATTCTTTACCATCTGAGCCACCAGGCAAGCTTAGCTGAAACAAAATGTGTTTTGACTAATTGTTTAAAGAAAATAACAACAGGGACTTTCCTGGTGGTCCAGTGGCTAAGACTCGGTGCTCCCAATGCAGGCAGCCTGAATTCCATTTCTGGTCAGGGAAACTAGATCTTGTATGCTGCAACTAAGACCTGGTACAGCCAAATAATACATAAATAAACTATTAAGAATAAATAGATTTTCATCTTTATTTTTAAAAAATTTAAAAAATAACACTACCATGCAAAATGATGTTTCAGCTCGGCATAGAACAAAAGATACATGGCATGTAACATTTTCAGTTTGTTTCTGTTTTAAATTACAATATTTACTTTGAAAAGCACAGCACTGTTTCTTTTAGAAATATTCACTTCCCCTTTCTACATATACCAAAAATGATTCCTTCTCACCTCTCTAGAGTTAGACTCTTATCCAGAAAGTAGCAGGCATGAGATTGCAGCCACAAACTACAGATGGAAGATAACTGAAGTGTTAAAAATTGCATAAGGACAAATGGCAACCTCTGCCCCAATTACATGCTGAATTCTCTTCTGCTCAACCCCCTTCATGAGTAGGAACGTACCCTTAGCTTAAAACTACCCCAATTTTGCTGTTCAAGCAATCATTGCTTTGGGAAAGATCCCAATGTCTTCCTTACTTGCTGCAAGTAATAAATCCTTACCTCTCCTGCTCTTTGGCTTGGTTATGTCATTTGGCTAGATGCCCACCAAGAGGTGAACCCACATTTCAGGTAACACTGCCTCCTTTTCTCATCACTCTCTGCCCTTCCAGGTCAGGTCTCTAAATGCAGGGGGTGAGGGCTGGATCCCTGGGTGGGAGCTAATAAGATCCCATATGCCTTGGGGCCAAAAAACCAAAAGACAGAAGCAATATTGTAACAAATTCACTAAAGACTTTTTTTAAAATGGTTTAAGTAAAAAAAAAAGTTAAAAGGAAAATTTCATGTTATATATCATTTACTACAATTTGCAAAAAAACTGCAAAGGCCAACTGAGATAGGTAACACTGGGACCCTCTGGAGAAGAGCACAGCACCGTTTCATGGGCATTTGGCAGGAGAAACATGAAGGGAAATGTTGATATTTTTACTCTACAGTTTCCTGAATTACTTTAATTTTTTCATATTCAGTTTATTTCAATATTCCTTCCACTTCTCCTACTTTATGGAAGTTGTAAAAAGTGAAAGTGTTAGTCCCTCAGTTGTGTCCAACTCTTTGTGACCCAATGGACTATAACCTGCCAGGCTCCTCTGTCCATGGAATTCTCCAGGCAGGAATACTGGAGTGGGTTGCCATTCCCTCCTTCAGGGGATCTTCCCAATCCAGGAATTAAACCCACATGCCCTGAGTTGCAGGCAGATTCTTTACCATCTGAGCCACCAGGCAAGCTTAGCTGAAACAAAATGTGTTTTGACTAATTGTTTAAAGAAAATAACAACAGGGACTTTCCTGGTGGTCCAGTGGCTAAGACTCGGTGCTCCCAATGCAGGCAGCCTGAATTCCATTTCTGGTCAGGGAAACTAGATCTTGTATGCTGCAACTAAGACCTGGTACAGCCAAATAATACATAAATAAACTATTAAGAATAAATAGATTTTCATCTTTATTTTTAAAAAATTTAAAAAATAACACTACCATGCAAAATGATGTTTCAGCTCGGCATAGAACAAAAGATACATGGCATGTAACATTTTCAGTTTGTTTCTGTTTTAAATTACAATATTTACTTTGAAAAGCACAGCACTGTTTCTTTTAGAAATATTCACTTCCCCTTTCTACATATACCAAAAATGATTCCTTCTCACCTCTCTAGAGTTAGACTCTTATCCAGAAAGTAGCAGGCATGAGATTGCAGCCACAAACTACAGATGGAAGATAACTGAAGTGTTAAAAATTGCATAAGGACAAATGGCAACCTCTGCCCCAATTACATGCTGAATTCTCTTCTGCTCAACCCCCTTCATGAGTAGGAACGTACCCTTAGCTTAAAACTACCCCAATTTTGCTGTTCAAGCAATCATTGCTTTGGGAAAGATCCCAATGTCTTCCTTACTTGCTGCAAGTAATAAATCCTTACCTCTCCTGCTCTTTGGCTTGGTTATGTCATTTGGCTAGATGCCCACCAAGAGGTGAACCCACATTTCAGGTAACACTGCCTCCTTTTCTCATCACTCTCTGCCCTTCCAGGTCAGGTCTCTTTTTCCTTCATTCAGGCAATACACCAGGCTCTGTCCTGCTTCTGGGATTCTGAACTTCCTTCCACCTCTCAAACCCCCTTCTTACACAGCCTCTGCCCAGCTCTGTCCTACTTATCTTTCAGTTCTTAGATATCAGGGCCTCCTAATATCAAGCCTCCTTCCCTGCTTGTCCATATAATTAAGCTCATCTGTCCATTATAGGCCCTCATATCAGTTTCACATCTGTTTCTCCTCTAAACAGCCTACTGGGGGGAGACAGCACTGTGCATTTTTAATTTTTCTGGTACCCAGGCATTGACTTAGGTTTGGCTCACACTCACCACCCAGTGAGTTTTGTTGAGTGCCCTGGACAATGTTCAGTTACAGCTAGACTGAAGGTGCACACATCCAATAAGATACAGTACAAATATTAACACTGGGATTAATTTAAATGGCTGTCCACAATATAAACCACTCATGTTATTTAAGGAAAGGTAAGGTAGGCAATGGGGTCTCAGAGTCAGACACAACTTAGCAACTGAACAACAAGGTGTGAGAAGTATTTTCAGAAACAAAGAACCCGTGTTGCTGAATTTCCTCCAGAATCATTTTTCCTCCAATTTTTCACCCATGAGTTTTTAACTTCACTGAAAAAAAAAAAAAAAAAAACTCACTTGGTCAAAACACATCTCGTTTAAGGCTACTAAATTCGATTTTCTTCTACTAATATTAAGAAAGCTGCTCCTCCCTTTTACTGAAGAATCCTTTTGTTTTATGAAATACAATCTCATGTATTTCACTTTGGATTCTTTCACGCCTTCACTACAAATATACAACACCAAAATCCCTTTTAATAATATCAATATTAAGAGATCCCTATATTTTTAAACTCAGCGGCGATCACAGCCACTGGAGGAAAGTTGGAGCTGATTCCGGATGTAAAGAATAATCTTACTTTAATTTTAAGACCTGTTATTTACGTTTTCACTTCTCCTCCTTCGTTTTCTTTATCACACTTGCTTATTTATACTCACCCTAGAATCCTAAAATTATTTTCCCAAACGAATTTGTCAAACATAAATAAAAATTGAAAACAAGTTTATCTTAACCTCACCTCAATGCCGCTCACGAAAGCAAAAGTCTTGTACAAGTAAAATTCTCTTGTACAAGGAAGGCAGAAAGGGACCTCCTTGATTAAATTTCACGGGCACACAAAAAAAATGTATTCACTGGCGCCTCTCGCTGGAAAAACGGATGAAACGGCCAGATCACAAGAATCCAAGGACACGAGGACGAAACGTCAACGCCAGCTGAATACTCAGTCGCTCGAATCCCCGCCTCCGGAGGCCCAAGGCCCCACCCTCTTTCCGACCCCGCCCCTTGGAGCTCCACGCCCCTCCTCCTATGCCCCGCCTCCCAGAATTCCACATTCACGCCGAGACCCCGCCCCGCTGAGCCCAGTCTCTCCGCCCAGAGCCCGCCCCTTGGATCCTACCCCTGCCCCCGCCTAGACCCCGCCCCCAGAGGCTCATCTTCCCGCCCTTCTAGAGACCCCGCTCCGCGAGCACCGTCACCTGCCTCCGGAGCCCCATTTCCAAGTCCTTACCCAGACCCCACCCCACACCCCTCCCAGCCGCATCTCCACGCCCTCGCCGAGTCCCCGCCCCCCAAGAGGCGGGACCGCACATGGACCTACTCCTCGGTGCTGGAGGCAGGTCGCTAGGAAAACAGTGGCGCGGTTTCGATAAGGATGGCCGCTCCAGGGACGCCCACTATTTCCTTAGAAGGGGGAAGACTCGGGGGCCGACCTAGTAGCACCTGAGGCGGCGAGAGCGGCGACCACAGCATCTTCTAGCCTCGGGACCGGAGAGTCCCCGTATCCTCCCCACCGGAGCCACTGGGCCCGCGGGGCAGGCTTCAATAGGGACCTTGGGGGCGGGGCCAGGCGGGAGGCTCGGGCTGGGCGGGGGACAAGGGCTTACTGAAGTCGATTGGACCTATCCTCTAGCACACCTGGAAGCCGCCAGGCTGTGGGAGTCTCTGAGAATGCTTTTCTCCCAGCTCTAGCTACTCCTTAGTACCTCCTTTCACTAAGGCATACTAAGTTTACTGGTGGTCTGTTATGCAGCAGTGGATAACTAATACAACCCTCTTCAGTTTTTTATTTCTATTATTATCTTTGAACCTGTGTGTTAAGTAACTTCAGTAGTGCCGATTCGTTGCGACCCTGTGGACTGTAGCCCGTCAGGCTCCTCTCTCCATGAGATTCTCCAGGCAAGAATACTGGAGTGGATTGCCATGCCCTCCGCCAGGGGACCTTCCCCACTCAGGGACCGAACCCGCAACTCAAGTCTCCTGCGTTGGCAGCTGGTTTCTTTACCACTAGCACCAGCTGGGAAGAACTTCTCTTACATTTGTATATTAATCTTGAGACTTGTTCAGTCGCTCAGTCGTAACTGACTTTGCAACCCCATGGACTGGCAGCACACCAGGCTTCCCTTTCCTTCACTATCTCACTGGAGNAAAAAAAAAGCATTTTCCTGGCAAAGCCCCCTTGCCTGCCCACTTGCATCTCTCACAAGCATCCTGGATTCCTTCTGCACTGAGACATAAAAATACCTGAGTCTCAGGAAGTCCAGACACAAGATACTGACACCCACTCCAGGTAGAAAAAGTTAATGATTAATGATGGTAGGCTGTCCACAAGCATGTAGACCCCAGATCATTTGGACCTGAGGGTTAGTGATGCTGACTCCTACTTACCACACCACCAGTGCTCCAGAAGAATTCAAGCCCATCACTCCCTTGATCCTTATCACCTACCCCTGAGCATTAGCCCTGTCTATAAGACCTCTCCCTATTCCCTAAGGAGTGGGGCACAGTTCATGAGCACTAGCCTGCTGTAGTCCCTTTTTGCCTGTAGAAGGAATAAAGCCACTCTTTTCTTCTCCTCCATAAGTAAATTTTCCTTTCCCAGGACAGCTTTGGGTTCTAACAATGCCTACTGCTTGGCATTTGGCAGGAAAGGAATGACAGTTTGGCAAATGAGAAAACTAGGACTCGGAGTTACCTAGACACAGTATTTCCACATTACCCACCCCCCTCCACCCCCAACAATCAGACTGAAGGATTTGAGGGACTGTCTTAGAATTTCTGGAGGAAGAATGAACAGCAAGGGCAAAGATCCTGAGGCAGGAAATGTTTGGCCTCTTTGACCAACAGCAGAAGCTCAGTACCTAAGACGGTGGAAGTGAACTGGGCAGGATGGAAACCAGCAGGAAATAAAATTAGAGAAGTAAGAGTGTCAGAGTATATGGGGGTTATCTGGGCAACTATAAGAATATTGGGTTTAACTCTGAGTGCAGTGGGGAACCCCTGAGGGCTTTGAGCTACAAGAGGAGCATTATCTGATATATATTTTTAAAAGATCTCTGTCTTCTGTGTGGGGCTTCCCAGGTGGTGCTAGTGGTAAAGAACCCACCTGCCAATGCAGGAGACACAATGGACAAGAGTTCGATCCCTGGGTAGGGAAGATCTCCTGGAGGAGGGGATAGAAACCTATTTCAGTATTCTTGCCTGGAGAATCCCATGGACAGAGGAGCCTGGAGGTCTACAGTCCATGGGGTCGCAAAGAACTGGATGTAACTGAAGCGACTGAGCACGCACGTCTTTTGTGTGACTCCAAGGAAGCAAAGATAGAATTGGGGAGGATGATTTTAAAAGTTAAGGTGGGAACTTCCCTGGTGGTCCCGTGGCTAAGACTCCCACTCCCAATGCAGAGAGCCCAAGTTCGATCTCTGGTCAGGGAAACTAGATCCCACATGCTGCAATGAAAATCAAAGATCCTGAGTGCAATGAAAATCAAAGAACTTGAGCAGCCAAATAAAATAAATTATTTTTTAAAAAAGAAAGTTAAGTCAATAATCCTGATGACAGATGGAAATGTCTGAACAAGCATGTCAGGGGAGAATAGAAAGAGTGGGACACCATTTGCAAAAAGTATGTGCTTGATTGCATGTACTCCCCCCTCACCAAAATAACATCTATACTGACATTTCCCCTGCCTCTTTGGAACATTTTCTCAGAGCTATCTGAGGAGCTGTCTCCAAGGCTACAGTCCTTTATTTTGCTCCAAATAAAATTTAACTCACAAGTCTCACTCTGTGCTTTTTTTTTTTTTAAGCCAGCACTCTATCTCCTTCTATCTGAGACCTCAAGCATGCTCCTGGATCCTTTAGGACCTGTGACTAATGAACCTGTATTTTCAAGTTCCCTGATGATCGTTGATGAAGTGCTTCTTGGAATTGTCAACAAAATGATTAATTAGTAGTCAATCCAAGAACAAAATATAGAATTTTATTCTAGCCAAGCTAAGGGTTACCCGTATAACCTGGGAGAGAGTCTTTTAGAAAGCCCTGAGGACTTTTCCATTGGTTAGAGATCAAAGCACAGTTATATACTTTTTTTCCCAGGAAAAGAAAAGAAAAAAATCAAAATGACATGCTGAGAGTTTACAAATTGGATATATAATGGGTCACTGTGATTCTAACAGGGTTGTGAAAGGAATATTATCTCTCAAGGAGTTACCTTGCTGGAGAAATTTGCTCTTTATAAATGAGCAGGTATTCCTGTGTCTTCTAAGGAGGTCTGATTTGTCTATAATACAGATGCACATTGCACACAAAGGGGAGGAGGTCATGGCCCAAATGAGCAAAGAGAGAATGCTATGTTTACATTTTTTTCTCACCCTGACTTAAAATAAGTTTATTTCATCACAATCATAATAAGAAACCATAAAGGCCAGTCCAGCCACACAGTGTTGGCCCCCATTGGGGGAATGTCCACGGGGGCTCATCCCAATGAGTCTGGGCCCAGGTGAGTGCCCAGGCACCCCTAGATGATAGCAACTCTATCAATATGCTGTTGTTCAGTTGCTAAGTCATGTCAGACTCTCTGCGACCCCACAGACTGCAGCATACCAGGCACCAGGCTTCCCCGTTCTCCATCTCCAGGAGCTTGCTCAAACTCTTGTCCATTGAGTCAGTGGTGCTATTCAACCATCTCATCCTCTGTGGCCTCCTTCTCCTCCTGCCTTCAGTCTTTCCCAGCATCAGGGTCTTTTCCAATGAGTCAGCTCTTCAAATCAGTGGCCAAAGTATTGGAGCTTCGGCTTCAGTATCAGTCCTTCCAAAGAATATTCAGGGTTGATTTCCTTTAGGATTGACTGGTTTGACCTCTTTGCTGTTCATGGGACTCTCAAGAGTCTTCTCCAGCACCACAATTCAAAAGCATCAGTTCTTAATCACTCAGCCTTCTTTATGGTCCAACTTTCACATCAAAACAGGTATGCCTCTAAGTTAGTCTGAGTTAGGGAAGAGACTCCATTTCTCTGGCTTCCTAGGTCCAAGTAGGGGAAATTTCAGCTGAAGCGACAGTTCTGATTCTTTTCTGCACATAAAACACCCACACACTTTATTTGACTAGTGGATTTGGAAGAAGGAGCTGAGTTTGAATGGTTCATGCCCTTTCTCTCTGGCTTTTGGAGTCAGCTGGACCCCAGAGAGAGGGTGTTGCCCTAAAGGTCGGGGAGAGAGTGACAGAACATGAAATCTGGTGCAATGGATCAGGGAACCGGCAACCTCTATTGGACTGAGGTGCAGAGTCCACTCTGAGTCAAGCTTTTATTCCTGATTGCAGACTAGAAAACTTTCTTTGCTCTATCTTTCCCAAGATACTATGTTGACATAGTCCAGATCTTGTTTTTACCCCAGGCTGTTCCCTTCTGGGATAGTCTAGGGAACAGTCAACAAGTGTGTAGGCAGTGTTCATACCTAATGCCGACCCGGTGTTCCAAGGTCCATGCTTTCATGACCCCAGTCATATTTCTTTCTGGGTCTGGCCATGGGGTCTGTAACAAGGCTATTATTCTAAGAAAAATATGATGAAAAAAATGGGTTTTTTTATCATTGTTGATATATCATCAACACAGTTTCTTGATATATGCTGTTTTTCCAGGTGCTATTTCTATGAAATTTCTCAAGGCTGTGAAAGTACATTATTAGAAATTCCCACTTCAAGAGGGTATTTTGGTCAGGTTGGGACCATGTAGCTGATATCCAGAGGAGCCTTGTGGTTGACTAGCTGTGCCATGCCTGAGTAGGTTGGGCACATTAGGGGTGAAATGTCAGAAAACCCATCGAGTTGCATAATGAAGCCACGTGTCCCGGTCCTGCCTTTATGGGCCATGAAGCTGATGTTTTCATTGCTAGTTCCTGTGACTGGTCTAAACCTCAGAAGCGAAACGAAGAGATGCCA